CAGGACACAGGCACGCACACACACTGCTGTGCACCAGGTCCTCACAGGACTGCAGGGACACGCAGAGCGGTCAGTCAGCCAGGACACAGGTTTCTAACAGCTCTGCTCCATGACACACAACAGCACTGCAAAGAGGGAGACGTGGTGGCCATTCTTGTATTGAAGATCACTGCGCGCACACACACACACACGCACACTCTCTCACAGCCCCCCTCTCCTCTGTTTACCTGTGTTCTGCTGTGCATTTCAACTACAAGTCAGCTGGAAAGGCAAAGACATCATGTAACTAAACAAACATCAGAGGGATCCCAGCTCCATCAGCCCATTAGAGGCACTAAATGACTCCCTCAGAGCAAACAACTCCCAGGAAACATTTAATAGGAGACAGGAGACCAGTCCAAAGGTTCGCTGCAGGTTAGCAACAGCCTTGCTAACGACCCAGCCAGCTCCCGGTAACGGGCGCTAATGGGGTGAGGGTCCGGCTGGGCTGCAGATGCGCTCTGGTTAATCGCTCGGCTCTCAGCCTTGATGGGCCCTCTCTCCCAGCCCCCCTGCACCAGCTGCCGAGTCGGCTGCTTGAGCAATCCGTCGTCTGCTGAGGGGGCAGAATGAGCCGGGCACCGCGCTCGCGAGGAGCCCATCTGCCCCGAGACTGCAGCGAGTGAAGAAACAGCGGCTCGGAACTCTCCCCTGGGTTTATCAGTTAGGAAATGTGGGGTAAAGTTTGCACCAGGGCAAAAGGCCTCTTACAGTCTGAGGCTGGAGGCGAAGTTTCTGCAAGGAGTGGGCGGCGGTCTGGTGACACAAGCAGACCACAGCGGGAAAACGACTCGCCATCGACTGCGAGACCAGCTCAGAACACACCTCCAGCACAGGCAGGGGGCGCTGTGGAGCAGGGGCAGACCTACCTCCCCCTTGGGGTAGCGGTATCTGTACTTGTCCTGGTCGCGCAGGGCGAACTCCAGGGGGTAGTGTTCCTGTATCTCCTCGTACATCATCTCCTCGCACACGCCCTGGGAGAGACAGCGGACAGAGAGGGGTCAGACAGTCGCCCTCATCACGTTCTGCTTCAAAACAAAAGATTCCAGCCTACAGCAGCCCGGCACTCAGGCCAGCCCTCATTCACTCAGCACTGGGCCTGGCAGGCTGGGTACTGACACAGCCTGTTCACATCACTACCGACTGCAGCGTCACTGCGGCCCAGCAGGCAGCTGGAGCGCTCAGGGAAGGACATGGAGCTCGGGGCTCCCCCGGCGCCCAGACCTGAACCGGAGCACATCGGCCGCTATCGCCAGTGCCAGCTCCCTGTGGATTTGGGAATAAAATTCCAAATACTGCAGCCTGAACGGAATTTGGCAAAGACATCAGTGACCTGTCACCTCCCTAAAGTCCTACGCATTCGCATGTTCGTTGGACTCTGTCCTCCTCAAACTGCCAACGCGAGTTTAAGGAACAGACACGTCAGCACTTTCAAACCAAGGGCCAAGTCCAAAAACATCCACCCCTTATCAGTCACTTATCAATCAGTCATCCATCCCTTATCAATCAGGCAACGGGAGTCGGTCCCTGCGCTGCTGGGAAACGCCCATGGCAGATCGCCAGCTCACCACATGGCGTGTGTGCAGGCACCCACAGGCAGAAGAGAAAAAGGTACCAGACGCCTAGAAAACACCCATCACTAGTGAACCAGAACAGACTGGATTCTGTTTACTGTATTAAAATGGATTTGTGCGCTGCTAAGGTCTTTGCTTCATTTATCATACAGTGTTTCGAGATGGGGTTATGAAAGGCGCTATATAAAGCATCACCGGTAGTAGCCGGTCTGCACGGAGCCCCACACCAGCACAGCGGCCCGAGTCCCCCCAGCACGGACCTCCCTGGACGCACACGAGAGCTCGCAGCCCACCACCCTCTCGCCCCGCAAGAAAGGAACGGCCCGATCCGCTCCAGCCTCCTGGAGCTCCCCAGCAACATCCCTTCCCATTCCCTGACCCCCGCCCGCGTCGGCCCACCCATCCTCGACTAATCCGATCCACTTAAGCTGCCTGGCTGGAAGTCCTGGGCTTTCCCGGGCAGCAGCAGACGGAGTAGACCTGCTCCACCCTGCCGGCAGGGCGGCTCTGACCGGACCGCTGGGGCGCCGGCGGGCCTTACCGCATCGATCTCGTTGAGCGCCTTCCACTGCTCGTAGGGCACCCCCAGCGCCTCGGCCGTCTGGATGGTCCGCTTCATCTGGCTGGTCCACACCTTCAGGTCCTTGATGTTCTGGTCCTGGATGAACTTGGCCAAGCACTTAGCAAACTGGACACACACACACACAGAGAGAGAGAGAGCGTGACCACCGCGGCCCCTCACTGACCCCACCCCCCCCGCGGGAGAAGGGGCGCGCCCTACCTGCTTGCCCCGCAGCGAGAGCCCCGAGTCGCCCCCGATGCGCCCCTTGACGTTGAGCTCACTCTCGCCGTGGCGACACAGGTAGATGGACCGAGGGGTGATGTGGATGTTCATGAGGTAGTACACGATGCGGCTCTGGATGTGGTCCAGGACCCGGTTCACCAGGTACCGCCGCCCCACGTCCATGATCTTTATGTAGGACAGCTCCCTGCGGGACCGGGGACAGAGGGGTCAGGGGTCAGGGGTCAGGGGTCGCTGGCTTTAACACAGGGCTCCAGCTCTGAATCGAGCTCTGGGGCCGAGGCGTGGGTCTCAGCGCTTCAGGGGGCACACAGCCAGAGAAATGGGGTCAGAGACGTCTGGGGGGGGGGGGGATGATCCCCCCACCTGAAGAACAGAGCTTGACCTGAGCAGCAGGGATCAAACGACAGGTGTGCAGCCTCGGAGCTCGAGCTACGGATCCCCTTGACCCCAGACGGGTAGCCGGGCTCGAGCCGGCCCCTGAGCCCCCGAACCTTTCTGGGCAGAAGAACAGGGGACCCAGCTCGCCTCGCTGCCGGCCCCCCCGAGGCCCCCAGCCCCGACACGGTGCCCGCGCTCACCTGTCCAGAACCTCGTCCAGTGTCTGATACGAGTTCTCGTAGCACTTGATCCTCTTCATGAAGTCCTCCACGGCCTCCTCCGTGTTGCAGTCGGTGTAGTCCGGGCTGCTCAGCTTCACCTGCTGCAGAGGGGGAGACAGGCGAGCGGGAAAACCTGTGAGACCGGGGCGCCCCGTCCAGCTCCCCGCGGGGCTGCGGGGAGGGCGGCGTCCGAGGACAGAGAAGCGCCGGATTTGAAACCTGGACTCACCACTATATTGGCGGCGATGACCTCGGGGTCCTCGCAGACGGACTCCACGAAGAACACCTGCAGGCGGGAGGGGGAACCGGGGCGTCAGGCCGAGGGGAGACAGCGATCCTCTCGGGGGACCCGCGCGCTTCAGGAAGTGCAGGGCCTCTGAGGCGCCAAGGCTTGTCCAAGACAGCTCACGCCTGCTCTCGGGGCTACGGCAAAGGGGGCGCGATGGGCTGCATGCCCGGGGTTCAGTTTCGGGGGTGCTGCGGGGGCGGAGCTTGCATGGTCTCCTCCCGCAGTCCAGAGCCACGCCGGTTGATTAACGGGCTGCTGGTGTGTGCGTGCGTCTGAGAGAGAGCGTGCGCGCGGCTGTGCGTCCGAATGCCCCGTGATGGACTGGCGTCCTGTCCGGGGGGGGTACCCCGCCTTGTGCCCCTTGCATGTGGGACAGGCTCTGGCTCTCCCACGACCCTCAACTGGACAGAGCGGCTAGCAGTGGAGGAGACAGCAGGGCCCGTCCCGGGACGCCGCGGGTGTGCCCCCCGACCCCCCCCGAGCCCCGGCCCGCCACCCCGACGACCCCCCCTCACCTTGTAGCCATTCTGCTCCGCGAACGTCACGATGGTGTCCCGGCGCTCCCTGGTGGTGTTGGTGGCATCGAAGACCTGGGAGCAGCGGCGGGAGAGAAGGGTGAGCAAGGGCAGAGCGCCCCGCGCGAGACGGGGGGGAGGGGGGGGTCCGGGTCTGTACTTACCGCCACCTGCCCGCCCTCCTCGCTGAGGTACCCCCGCACGTCCTTCAGGGCCGCCAGCGCGCACTGCCTGCAGCGAGACAGGAGACAGAGAGAGAGAGCCGCCCCCGTCAGCAAGCAGGCCAGACTCAGGAGCCCCCCCCCCCACAGGACCGCAGGGGTGTCGAGCCCGGAGCGGGACACGCCTGCCGGCCGCCGGCCTCGGCTCGGAGCGGCGCTCTTACTTTCGGATCTTCAGGCCCTCCTCGTTGTCCGGGCGGAAGAACTCGAAGGACTTGTAGATCTTCACGCACTCCCGCCGGTACTGCCCGACGTTGAACTCTGGAAGGACGAGACGGCCAGACGGTGAGACACAGACCGGAGGGGACAGCCGGGGGGGGGGGCACTTTACACAAAGGGTGGCGGGGGTCTGGAACGAGCTGCCCTGCCATAGTGCTGAAGCCAATACCCTGGTTTCCTTCTACCCTCTACAGCTGGGCGAGACCCACTCATCGAGACAGGAGGTGCTTCTTTACACAAAGGGTAGTGGGAGTGTGGAACAGGTTGCCATGGCGTTGATACCCTGGTCCTCTCTTCCAAGACACCGCAGGCCAGCGGGCTACTCAGACCAGGCAGAGCGGACACTCTCGTCCGTGACCCGTCTCCCAGTCCCATGGGAGCAAGGCGGACTCCGGGCCGGGCCCCGGCCAGCGAGGCAGGGGAGACAGGGCGGGCTCGGTACCTTTGGTGGGCACGCCGATCCAGTTGAGGTACCGCGTCAGCTTCTTGGAGATGTAGGTCTTGCCCCGTGCCGGCAGGCCCACGGTGACGATCAGCGTGGGGCAGTTGGTCATGCACACTGCAGAGGGAGAGGGGGGAGCACGGTGAGGGGGGC